ACATCTGTTTGTTGCTCCAAACCAAGAACCTTACAGATACTTCTAAAAGGACAGAATCAGTGTTATGAGTCCTAATACTACTGATCATCTGTTTCCATGTTAGTGCATCAATTCCTGTTTCGTTTTGACTTTGGTATTTTTGTTATAATTCTTCCGCATATGTTATGAGTGGTGCAGAGCAAACAGTTCTATTTGATGTAGGTTGATGAACAGCAATACTTAAGAACTTTCTTAGAAATAATCATTTATGTGTCAGAAAGTCTTTAAAAAATTATGTACTATTTAAATTAAGCTACAAATAGAAAAAAGTAGAAAATCATGTAATGATAATGGCAATATGTGTCAAAGTGATGGAAATGTAATTCATTTTGATATCACGAACAACAAACGAGATGACAATGTGCAAGATAAGTATTCGTGTGTTCGTCCGCAAACAAACTGTACTTTACAAGGTTATGCAAGATAGGTATGACCAACTGAGAATAAACGAATGATAATAGTTTAGAAATACTATTTCGATCAGACATTTAAATATTTCGTTGGTCGAATGCAACTCGATCATATACAGGACAAATAATATCTTTCATTCGTCTATTGAAATATCTATCTTGTGGTTGTATCTGACCCGTTGTCTAATCGAGTATTTGTAATCGTTTTACGCTTTTCACTTTCGTATAAGTTTTGTTGTCGTTGTATGCTTTTCATGAACTGATAAGAAGTAGACAGTTCTTAAGCATTAATTATTAATCGATATTTTTTGTTTTCTTTTATCTTTCTCTGTTCATTTTGCAGTATACTTCAACTTTACATACGCTATACAACTAAAATTGGATGTTCTCAGGTGCAGGTATAGATATCAAAGTGCTTATCGATTTCATTTACTTTCACATTCACATTTTGTGGTCAATGTCGATATTTGTTGGTAATTATTAATTAAAATGTTAGCAAATTCGAGATGAAAGAGATTGTTTTTCCGCAGACTAGGTCTTTAAGTCTGTGAAAATTGATAAAAGAATTCGAGTTGGCTTTCACAATTTAGTCAAAATCGATCTGCAAAACGAAGCGAAAAAGTCGATGTCAGTGGTATAATCAAGAATCTTTAATTCAAGGGTCGTTGCTCAGCGAAATTATTTTGAGGAGTAGGTTGAATTAAATTGAAACTTTTTCACACGTACTAGACCCTGTTTAGAGTAAGAGCCTCGTTTGGTTTCTATTAATATTGTTCTGTTCAGATACAAACAGATCTGAAATGTGACACAGTTCATCCAACACATAATAAGTCTTCGCGTGTAAATGCAATGATTCTGTATCTGTGGCGTGAAGGCAATTTTGAAATACTATCAAAAACAAAAATTATTGCTGTTCAACAATGACTAGCAAAGCAAAAAAATTCGTGAATTATGTCAGAGATGACAAGTCAGAGAACCGCTTCACTCTGGCAGATAATCGATTTGACTAGTTTGAAAAACTTTTCCGTTTTAGTAATCAACAAAAGTAGATGTTTTTCTTCGATTTTACTTTTTCCACATTGATGATAGGACTAGAGAGTAATTCCAGAAATTGAAATGGGATTGATTCGTATGTGCCCAAGGTAACATACCCGATTTCACTCATGAAATTCTTCGTACGATCCGTGTGGTGTCTCCTATGAACAGATTCCGGCTTGCTTTATCCAACCTGTTGAATGGTTTTTCTTGGTATACAACATTGAAAAGATTGCTGAAGCATACTGTAATAATTCGAGACAATCGTCATTACATTCCAAATTCACTGTCAATATGAAGGTCATCTTGGTCCGAAAGTTGATAATTGAATAGAGCCGAATATGAACTTGCTCATTTGAACAGAAAGCATCCTCAAACCTAGACAGGCTTTAAGGTACCTTGAGAGAATAGAACAATTAGTGAAGCCCATGAACATATAACACAACTTAGGAATTTCGAGCATCCATTTTCACGAGAGTAAAACTCAAATCTGCATTACACTTCTGAATACAAGGTTTTGAGTGAACCATAATCAATACATATATGGGCACGTCAATGCTCTCAAATAATATATTCCTATGTTTATGTTGACACTAGTTTGCATACATCATCATTATCAGTTTTCTTTATCTCTTTTTTCTATACTGGCATAAAAATGTGAGTTTGAAGGCCATCATCGTTCTATTTTTTGACAAGTGAATGAAATTCTATTTAATTCAATCTCAGACATTTACTCTTCATGATATTTAAGCGAACCTATTTTTAAAGTTTTTCTCTCATTAATTTCATCTTATCCTCACATAACTATTCACGTTCCTTTCATCGAAGATCAGAGTGACCAACATTTAAATCGTACGTATGAAACCGTTTAGACAAACCTACCATTTCTTATCAACTAGAAGATTTAATTTCACTATCTCATATTCTGTCATTTCGTTGGTATATTTGTTGTTTACAACAACTGCAAACTCTCTACAGCAAAGACATGGAACTTGAAAGGACTGATGCGAGTTTTAGGAAAATAAGAGTCTCCAATTACCACCAGTTTGGTGAGTTCAGTTTTTTTGAGTGCTTCTTTTATCAGAATAAGATCGTAAGAACATCTAGATAGCGCACTGGAACGCTCAATTTCCCGAATGCACGGTGACCAGCATTTGATATCACATGCTTATCGGTCAGCTATACCTGAACATCGTTTAGGTAATCGAATCGATTATTGGAGCAATCAGCAAGTCATAGATTTTATCATCAACAATGATCTGAGGAGTCTATTACCAGTGCTCAAAGGCATTAATGGCGACGGTATGCTTGAACTTTATCGAGTCTACGAACGATCGCCTGAAAGTCTCTATAAAATGTTCAAGAATAATCAAGAGATGACTTCCCTGGGAATGTTTTTCAAATTCATCGCAGCGCTGAAGATGTATACCACGGTGATTGATAATATTCTATCCTTTTAATAAAGACTTCTCGCAACAACAAATCCAAATGTGGCTTCGACAACAATACAATTTTCCACTAATGTGAAATGTTCATTTTCCAGAGTTCTATCGACATATTTTTTATGCACATTGCTGATATGATTTTAATCTGAAAATTCAATAAAAAGTTTTTTACCAAAACAGTTACATTCAACGATTGCGGCTAACTAAAATTAACATTGAGTGTTAGTGTAGCTGTAGAATGTTGGTGTTCGGCCTGTGTGTGTGCATATTAGTGTGAGTGTGTGCGTAGATACGCGTATAGTGATAAGTTTTTAGAAAACTGCGAATAACGCGAACACAACAGCTAATCATTATTGAATGACGAATCGTCTGAACATGGAAAGACGGAAAAAATCTATTTGATCTCCATCGAAACTCTTCTGCTTCATTCAATTTGAATCGATTCAAAGGTATGCTTTTTTTCAAGGTCAAATCATGCGACAAGCATCTCAACGATGAAACGAAATCGAATCGAACCGATTTGAATTCGAGGCGGATAAAAAAATTAACTTTATGGAAATCTCTTTGCAAAGCATCAAAATAAAGATGGTTGTCATCATTGTGATTTCAGTTTGGTTTCAAATCGGATCGCAATGGAAAACATCTATCAAACAAGCAAATACAATTGTGCCAAACAAGTTTTATCAAAGTCCAATGAATTGAAGGTTTTTTTTTGTTGAATGCGTTGTGAAATCATTAATTGCAATGTTTTTGAAAACAACGTTTGACTTGCTCGTTCGGTGGAGTAGAACGAGATTGGTACTCTTTTGCCTTTTTTATTGATTCGACAATCCATTCAGAGGTAATTTTCAATATTTCAATTGAATGGTGTCTAGATAGACAACAGTGACCGTTCATTAATTGGTCGATGCCGGCTATTTCGTTTTTTGACTTGTTCAAAATGTTGAAAAGTACAAGAGGAATGTTTTTTTGCTTTTCTTAAAATGATTCTTAGAATTCTGTTGTCCAAGCTCATTATTGAAACAATCCGATTGCGATTTTGCTGCTAATTCTTCACTGAATAAAATCAAGAAAATTGCTTAAAGAAGGTTTCTTCAAATTCTAGATTATGACTTGACATACGATGATCAATTTTCTTATTACAGTTCCAACTTCTCAAGTATACACTAACTTCTGATAATGAAGTCACAAGTATTGAGTAACATGAAAGTTGTAAACTTCTTATCAGTATCCTATGGTTGTATCTATCAAGCATTTGTAGATATATGAGTAGTTTTTAACCGCATTTGAAGATCACATTTTTTTTCTTCTATAAACGCCTTTATTCCCAAATAAGAATCTTGATTACTTTAGACTGAAATTCAAATGTAAGTTACCAATGACGACCAAGACCATATGGTTAGGGATGCCCTATTACAGCACCATAGATGCCCAAAACTACTGTGTTAATGTGTTGGGTTGGATATATTTTTTCGAATACATATACTTTTCATCTTACCTGCTTGAGACTAGAATAGGGATACATGGAAAGAAACGACTATTCTCCGTCGTAGATTACTTGCTTTGTTTATTCCTGTCTGTACTTTTTTGGATCGAAAGAATTCAAACAAATACAAAAGCGAGTTGTAAATCTGAGTGTATCATGGTGTTCTCTTCGCCAACATGTCACGTCCCGATCTTAATAGAATGCACGTAATTGCAAGAGTAAACTATGCAATGTAGTATTTGCTATTTAAGTTAGTTGAGAATGAATTATAGACAGAAAGCTATGCACCACTGAGTTACATATTTCAACAAATTAATATATCGTTTAATCAAACTCTTGTATTAGAATTTCATGATTTCAAACAAGAATAAAGTGAACATAGAAATAGTGATCGTTTGCCGAATTGAGTTTCATCAAGAAACAATATCAATTCGAGTCGATGTCAAATCGTTGAACTAGATGGTTATTGTGATCAATGACATAAAGGTTGCCTTATCGATCAAATGACAAACCCGACAGGTGATTCAATTGGTTCGCTTGTGTTCCGACACCGTTTTCACCAACAATTTGTAATATTCCATTACTTCAACGCACCACTCGATGGTTGCCTAAGTCTGCCACGTACACTCTACCCAGTTGATCGACAATTATTGCGTTAGGGCTAGACAATTGTGTCCAATCAGTACCCATTCCTCGACCACCAGCTACAACTATTCCTTCTGTCGCACCTTTAACCCATTTCATCACGCGATGGTTATAAGTATCTGACACGTACACCGACTGATCTCTATCGACAAAGAGATAGGTAGGATAATACAGTTGATTAAGATGATTGCCTTGTCCATTACCACTTGCCACCACTGTTCCTTGTGTATCTCCCATTTGGTATCGTCTCACTTCATGCATTTGACAATCAGACACGTAGAGAAATCTCTGATCATCCATAGCTAATTGAGTGCAATCAATATTGTCGAGTATCGTTTCTTGATTTATGTCATTTCGACGAGACCATCGCATTACTCGTCGATTTTTCATGTCAGAAATTATGAGACTATCTGTGTCTTTGTCAACAATCACATCTGTTGAATGACACAATTGATTTATTCGATTACCTTGTCCGTTTCCACCGACCACCACTTGACCACTCGTTGCGCCACATTTTCATTCCATAATATGATCATTGGCCCAATCTGCATCAACAGAGTTTGATCATCATCCACATACAAACCGAAATGGCGAGAAAGTTGATTTAATGAATTGTCTTCACCTTCAGCAACGTTGAGAGCATTTTGTGTCCATGTGGCGTTGAGACGACTATTCGGAAAAGATAGGGCTGCAATAGATGAAAGATCTGTGTCGATCAATGACGATGAAGAAGAGTTGAACAATATTCATCTCAAATTTTCAAAACTGCAGTGAATAAACAACAGAAATCAATCTCTCACGTGAATCAATACAATACCGGTGAAATATCCTTCGAAGATTAGATTTTTATAAGAGAAGTCATGATTGAAACGCTCATATCAGCCATATTGCTGTCTCGATTCTGGTGCACTATAGCGCCTGTGATAGAGATCTGGTATCAACGTTGAATCTCGAAGAACTAAAACTCTCTTGGGATTTTAAGTCTTCTTAGGTCATTACGACGCCGTTTCGAGAGGTGAAACGTCTATTGTCAAAAGTGTCGTTTCCTAAGATTCAACTTACGCCAAAGTGTTCGCATTCCGGTGAGTTGTAGAATCCGTTCTTCACAATCTTGGCGAAACTTTTTGAATTCTCGCTCGTTTTCTTGTAAATTTCTTTTGATTTGTGCGTCGAGTTGTTGGTTTTTCTCTTGTGATTGTCGGAATTGTTCTTTCAGACAAATAACATCAGTATGAGCTTTAATAGCGTCACGACGCTTATAAACAATTTTGTAATCTGCACAAGTCAATTCGATCAATGGACAATGAATTTCATGTTCATTGAAATCCTTTTTCAACATCTGTAATTGACAACCAGAGTATTGTTGAGGTTGATAATCACAGTGCGTTTCATGTTTATCAAGTGCCTCCTATGGAACAACCTATACAGCAAACCATTGATGAAAGAATGAAAATGAGAGAATAATTGACCTCATTGCAACCATTGGATTGACAAATACAGGAAACCTGTACTTTGGCTAGTTGTTTGGCAACGAATCGAGGACATGGTTGTTCGATGAATTTTTCGCATCTCATCGGACATTTATTAGGATTTGTGCCGCGCCAAATGGTAATACACAGTGAACAGAATGAAGTCTCACATAATTGACAACCAATTGGTTTTCAGAGGATATTATGACACATTGAGCATTGAATATCATTAAAATCAATCCCAAGTGGTTCTCGAATACGATCAAAGGAGAGCCCTTCTTCCTCTGTAGATTTCATCTAAAGAATATTGAATAGTCTTTTCCAAAACTAGTCTAAAGTAACTCTTCATTGACAAAGTTTGACATGCAATAAAATATTGGGAATCAGCACAGAAAACTGCATCGAATCAGATATTTTGTGAAAAAAAGTGCTGAGGTGGGCCACAGATCAATTTCTCGTAAAAGAATTGTTTTCACTTAAAATATTGAATCTGATGTAGTTTTTTGCGCTGGTTTCGAATATCTTATTTATTTTGCTGTCATATCAACTAATAACAATAAAAACTACTAAGTACAAACAGACTTTTGACAGCTTTGTCTCATAGTGCAACAAATGTGATCCGTACTCAATACTCATGCCTGTCTTTTGCCTTCTGTAAAAAAACATCAAAAGATGCAGAATTTCACGCACTATCAGAATATATAACTCTCTCTGTAAAAGTTTATATCTTTAATTAAAATAATTTCAATGAATAAATGGAAAAAGAACAAAAGATGGAATTGTAGAAATCCGATGTTAAGGCTGTCTTTGTGTACATAAAATTTTTCTTAGCGAACAAATGTAATTCAAGATGTTTATATATAGAGCTGTAGAGAATTTTATGACCTACTAGAATATGTAATTACTTTTCACAAAGTGACAATTTATAATAATGATATATAAAAAATATCGAGTGCAATCATTTTTTTATAGACAAAGATTTTTCATAAAAATGCCTGATATTGTTGAAGAGATTTTCTATACTAAAATTCAATATCACAAACTTTTGAAAACGTAATTCGACGCATTTTGATGTGCTCTTTCAAATGAGACTATTCTCGAACAAATCCATCCCGCTGATTCGACTAGCTGAAAATGGTATATGGTACCAAGCAATAATTATCCAGCGATGAGGTATTTTTATTAGCATCGAAAGATAGTCCATGATCGATAGTATTGATGGTAAAAAAATCTCTGTTATAACTCTTATTATTGTTTAGAAAATAAAAATTTACTGAAAAGCTTGGCTCTGAAAAGTGCTCCAAATATAGCTTACCCCGTCATGCTTGCAACGTCTCTATCTCCAGAATGGCTCATTCGTTCCGAAGAGGCCTGAAGGGGGATAGAGGGTTTTTCCGAAAAAAAAATTTTTCCATTTTAAAAGGATATTTTGAGAGTCGGTAATAGAGTATTGAATGCTGATTTTTAATACATAACATTTAACTTATACAATAGAACCCTTCGAGTAATTTCGAAGCACACTTGAGCAGATTTCCTATAGAAAAGGCCCATTTTTTCGTGTTTTGCAATAAGTCTCCTTGAGCTATTCTTAGAGATCCAACGCTAATTTTTTAACAGGGTTGTAGCCCACAAATACAACTTGTAATTTGTATAGATCAGCTCCCAAAACAATTCATTTTCTAGGAGAAAGCATATCCGCATAATCCCAATTTTTGTGAAAAACATGTTTTTAAAAGAACCCTTCTGATCAAACAGAAGAGTATAGATAACTGAAATTTTTAGAGGAGATACAACTCTCAGTGCTGTATCCATAATAAAATCCAAATGACTCAATATCTTCCAATAAAAATTTTGTGGCAACTAGAACTCACTGAGATATATATACGTCAACAAAAAAGTTCAGCTCAATTTGTCCAGCCGTTCGTGAGACATCGTTGCATTAGGGCCCTCCTTGAGGAAGAAGGTTCATTTCAGGGCTTTTAGTAAAGTTCTCATAAAATATTGAGAGATCAATATTTTTTATATCAAATTATAATTTAAATACTATATACAAATATGTTCACTTCTTAAATTCATGTTTTCCGTTTATATATTTATCAGAGACAATTTTTCATTTTGTTATGCTTCGTATTCTGTCGGATCAAAAGAAAAGAAAGTTCCGATCTAGTGCATATTGTAGAGCAATTAGTTCTTGCTCTTAAATTCGATTTTTACGAATCTTTTCTAACACAAGAATGTCTGCTAAGATTTGGTGAATTTGCTACATACTGAAATGATGATATTGTCAAGATATTTACAAAATCATAATATCTTGTAGTGAAAATCTAAGCAAGACCAGAAATTATCAGATAATACGTATATAATATTTAATGCCTTTTATACATTTAATTGGAAAGATTCTTGTGACAAATCATTTTCCAAAAAATCTTAATTTCTGTAATTGTACTTAAACACCGTACAAAATATCATTCGATTATATACATCTTTATCGAGGGTCCCTCTCTTAAAAAATCGAATTTTTCAAAAAAATATCGAAATTGAGTTTTGCTCATAGGAAGATGCAGTGAAGCTTTCTCATTCAGAATATATATAAGTTTTTGGAAAACAATCAAATTTTCAAAGACTTATCAGATCAAACTTTGACTTCACTACCACATTTTCTGAGAAATTTCCGTAGTTCTTTAAGTTTTTCAGTTTTGAAAAAACTACATTGAATGGCATGATCTAACTCTCGGAGCCCAACTTCATCATATGTAGTCATCGACACTGTTCTAGTTGTCTAAGAGAAATGATAAGGTTTAGTTAACTTAATTTGTTAGTTTTTCAAAAACAAAAGTCGTTTTATTCTATATAGAACTGATCCATTATGTTTATGCGTTGCGAATGGTTGCATTGAAGTTATTACATTTAATGGTGTAAAATGAAGAAAAATTTTTAAAAAAATGTACCATAAAACAATTATTTATAGTATTTCATTTAGATTTACGAGGATCATGGTATTGAAAAAGAAATACAATGTTTGACAAATATTTCTTGTACTAAAAAAAGCAAGGGTTGTTCATAATTCGGAAATTATTTAGAATACAAAGTAAATATTATAAAATAACTTTTTAAAAACTAATTCGTTTTCTAATTCTTTTTTGTCTTGTCTATCCAGAAATATTTGCAAGATTGTCGATATGAATATCGTTTCATGTTGTTCAATGATCGACTTTCATATAAAGCACATTGTGAAATTTCTACAGAAGTAATTATATCATCCTCATCAAATGAATGAAAGATGATCAAGGACAATACGAAAAAGTAGTTTCATTGTTTAGAAAAGTAATCAAATTAAAGAACAAAATACATCTGAAGATGGTCTCGATCTGAGTGCTGTCCATAACAACATTGTTCTAGTGTATGGCGACATGGATGACTACTCGAAAGCATTTGAATTTTACAAAAACATCACATCAAAATCAAGAAAAAGGGTATGGATGTGAATCTTCTTCTCAGTACACTCATACTCACCAACACCCTAGGCGCAGCCACATCCAATATCACATCGACCCTTTACATTGAGTTCTTAAGTTACAATATACATGTTATTAAAGTAAGAAACTTACTTGTTATTACCATATCTTAGTGGATCTTCAAGTAGCCAAAGAGCTTTCCGTTCATAGCTGAGTTGTTCCAATTGTGGACGATGTTCAAATAAAAATGATAGAAAGCTTGGTGAGCAATTTCAAAGTACAAGTAATTATAAGTTTAAAAGTCTGGTTTGAATAGACACAAAAGCTCTATCAAGTGCTAGAACGAATCGACTGTCTATAGTAGATTGTATATATCGCCAAAAATGCAGTTGACATAGACTTAATGAAGGAAATAAGTGAAAAACTCATTCATAATATGCACCTTCAGACACACCTATACACATAT